AACCCGGTCCTTAATTAATATTTAATTATTAATTTATTCTAGTAAAAGACAATTATATTCATAGAATATTTTATTAGGTTTAAAGTTGATTTTTTGACCGGGAAGGAGTTTGGGGATTTGGTGATACAATTGCGTAGAGCTCGACGATACGAGTTCGTAAACATGCGGCACGCCCAATTTCGAGCTGTAACGAATGAGAAAAAGTCTAGAAACGAAAAGGACGTAAATGGAATTTTAAAATTTCTTATTGCTACAGTACCCGAACTCTTTTTATTAGGTTTTTTAGGTTTTAGACATAAAAAAAATTTCACTTTTGGAAAAAGCCAAAGCTTTTTCAAAAAAGACAAAAAAACCACTCAACTTTCAAATCAAAGACATGCAAATGTATTGGATTCCTTAGGAAATCTAAAAATAAATAAGGGCATTTTTGTCCATTTTTGCTTCTTTTAAAATTTTTCTCTCTCCTTTTGCTTTTTCCAAAATGTCCCCTTTTTATTTTAGTAAATTTAGGTTTTAGCCACAAAAAAACTTTCACTTTTGGAAAAAGCCAAATTTTTTCCAAAAAAGATATAAAAATCCCTCAACTTTCAAACTAAATACATTCAAATGTAAATGATCCCTTAGGAGATCCAAAAATAAATAAGGACATTTTTGTCCATTTTGACTTCTTTTCAAAATATTTCTCTCTTCTTTGGCCTTTTCCAAAATGTCCCTTTTACTTTTCTCTCATTCTTCCTCCCCGAGCAGCTTCAGCATTTTTCTTCTTCTTTGTTTTTCGACACGTTATGGTTCACCGGATGGCCACGCCACCTTCACAAAAAGTGTTCATCTCGCCCTCCTCCATAAAACCCACCTAAGATCTAATATGATTGGCTAATGATGAGCTCGAATTGAAGCTAAGGAATGGTTAGGCTTTTCCGGCGATATTTTTGCATTTCCGGCGACTCCGTCCACGAAATCCGTCGAACAAGGTATGAAACTTCATCTACTCTTCGTGCTCTATCTTTTTATGTAGGTATTAAAGATTGATTTTGAAGTTTTACAGATAGTTCCATATACCCATATTATGTCGACGGTTTCGTATGTTATTTAGAGATCGATATGATTAACAACCTAGCTAAATAATTAAGCGCATGTCCATATTTAATACCCGTATTCAGTGGTTGAAAGGGAAAAATTATAGCTTTTGGTTTTTATCAGATTTTGGGTATATATATATATATTAAGTTTAGTTGAGAACCAATTTATTGAAAGTTTATATAAATGACGGGTTATGGTTTTCAAACCCACCGCGAGGGTACCCCCAGTTGCCTTGAGACAGTTTGTTATTTTGATGATGCCCCACGAGTTTCGGGGACGCCTGAACCGTGTGGTGCCAGTTTGTGGCTCATATTGAAGTATGTCTCCGAGACCTGCCAGTTTGCGGGTCAGGCTGACGAACGGTCCCCTGAATCCTGCTAGTTTGCGGCTTGGATTGAAGTGTATCTTCGAGACCTGCCAGTTTGCGGATCAGGCTGACAACGGTCCCCTGAATCCTGCCAGTTTGGGGCTTGGGTTGACCTTGTGTCATCGAGACTTGCTTGGGGAATTGACGAAATATCAGGAATTGACGGATATCAGGAATTGACGGAAATAAAGGGGGTACGCCTAGGTGGAGAGGAGTTAAGATATGAGATGCTTTTAACTAAATTGAGGATTTTATATAATTACCATTATTTTCTTAAGCATCACATTTGTTTTACAAGCGATATATGGAAATATATATAGATTCTAATCAAGTTATTGATATATTTATTTATTTATTTATGAATTTTACGTGAGTTCGACACAAGAACTTATAAATCTTTAACTTATTTTATTTCATCTTATTATGTTCATTTATCTTTATCTTGCATTATTTTATATAGTATTAAATACCTTAAGTTTTTCTAGCATATTTTGCCCCACGAGTCCTAGAGTTATTCGGACCGTGGGAGCGAGAATTGCGGACCAGGTTGACCATATGTCTTTTGAGTCCAGCGAGGATTACAGGTCAGGACGTGTCACCATTGGTGTCACGAGGAATTGATGGTTATGGTTTTGCAAGCATGATTACTTGATATAAATGCTTTTATTCCTCCATTTAAATATAGATATTGCCATGTGAGTAATACCAGGAAGCTTGGAACAGGAAATGAGAATTAGAGTGATTTTGCAATGAAAGAACTACGTGTGGCTTGATCTTTTAGTAAGGGTACGTAGACAGCCTATGGTTACAAGGTGCAACCACGAGTTAGAATGGTTGAGATTGTCAATGTATTATTGTTGTTCTGGTAATTGAGATGAATTTTATTAGTAAATTGATTTATTTGATTTGTTGCCGCCTAAGGCCAGAATGACATGATGCTTAATTTCTTTTGTATATAATTCGATATATGCTGGCAGTTGTGATATATATATATATATATATATATAAACATATATGCTTGTCTCACAGGTGGAATATCTTTGGGAAATGTTCAGTTTACAGGGGAGACTCTGCCGAATTTTCGGTAGAAGTCACATTTGAATTTCATTTAATTTCAGTTAAAATGGCAATTTAGTCTTTTGTGCCCACTGTTAGCCAGGTGTCGAACACTCACAAGGTTCGGCTCGGATTCCAAAGTGAAATTTGGGTCGAGTCCTGTCAAAAGTACATAAATATTTTAGAAAATCAATAGTATCTATTTGGTTGATTGTGCTACTTGCAAACTTCTAATTAGGAGACTCATAATTTTTTTCTAACCATCAAATAAGATGATTTATATAGTAAATTTTGTTTAACAAGCACAATTTTTTTGATGGTACAAATATTAAAATTAGAGATAAACGAACATTGAAGAAGTCTCTAACGATACATATACGCACGAAGGTAATTATAAATACCAAAAGATAACTTACTGTATCACACCAGTATGATTTCTGTAGCATCTTTCAATTTCGTAGGATTCTCCAACATTTTTTTTGTTTTTGTGAAACTTCCTCCAACATTTTGTTGGACCAAATTCAAGCATGAGTACTGCCCATGCACAAATTACAAATGAAATCCGTTGCTTTCCCCATTACAAACCAAGAAAACAACAGTTGACTGGAAAGAAATCATCCTATTTTTTATCCAACTAGTGCAATTCTTTAAGAATGAAAAAAAGAAAATAACTATATACAATTTCTTCAAGTGTAAACAGGGCAGCCTTCAACAATCACACCTTTAGCCGTAGGGCAAGTAGCCAAAGGGCACCCATCAAGGTCATTTCCCCACCAGTTAAGGCTAATGTCCTCCAACCCCAAGCTAAAATACAGAAGCACCCCCATGAAGGCAAGGCCAGCATCAAGTGCCCCAGAGAGCACATAATTGTGCCTCCTCCACCAATCTGGCCTATACCTATACACAACAAAACCAGACAGAAAACCCAAAATGATCCAAGAAGTGTAGTTGACTGCAGTTGCAGGTGGCATACTCCCTGTGGCACCAATTAGGACTGGCATGTTGATGAGCCTGATCCACTCTTGTTTTGGG